GTTTTATATATATATATATATATATATATATATATATATATAGGGGCATTATGAATATATGAGTTTACGAGTCTATGGATGCTCATAAATAAAAGTATAAAAGTCTCTGTTTTGACTCAAAATGTGAAATATAATGTTCAATAACTATTTGTTTAGGTAAGTCCCCATCCTAAGGGCTCACGGTCTCCGCTGCCCCTTACTGGCAGCAATAGGCACTGCTCGGCTGCATGGAATTTAAATAAAGGCAGTCCGGCCAGGACCTATGAGAACATTGACTTCCTATATCGAAATCCACCCAACAACAGCGCCCCCACTAATGGCTCCATGCCTCCTCCCCTGCCAGCTAAAGCAATACAAAGAGGTGAGATACTGTTTGTTAGCTTTTAATTGACGTTTTAAGTCTGGAATTTTGTATACCCCAAAAAAGTTTTTGTAAAGGTTTGACCTGATAAACAAAAGCTAAGGAATGATCTGGCATTTAGATGTTCTCTAAGAAGCTGAAATGAGCTCCTTTGCAAATGTGAACTGTGTAGAAACCCTGCAGGTTTATTCCAGACAATCCACAGCAAGGTCAAAGATAATTTGTGTCCCTGCAGGCCGTTCAGATCCTCAGATCTCGGGTTCCATTCCAGAGACTCACGCCCCCTACCGCCAGAGTTCCCACCCCACCAGCTGCTTTCAGAGAATCAGCACTTCATCCCCTGGACCAACACCTTCACGCTCTCATAGCACTGGAGGGTCAAAGGGACATAGACAGACGGTGTACTGGGAGGGACAATCTTTCTCAGGGGCCGAGGGCAAAAATCACTCCACCTCACCACAGAGTCAGAGAGGACCTGTCAGGTTAGTCACTCTGGTCCTATGCTGCATTTATCTTCCAAGGCCAGAGGTTTCCTCATTATTTTACTTAATGATTTGTATTGTAATTTTTTTGTATGTTATTATATTTAAAAACATAACCACTAGTTAGGGGTTGCTGGAAAAATTTATTATGTCACAAGACATATTTTTATGATTTTTGAGCTATAATTTCAGTATTACTATTGTTAACAATAGTATTGGTAAAATAGTAGCATTCATTAAAATCTGAATTTTTGAATACGTGTGTAGTATTGTGAGTTATCGTCGTAAAAATATTACATGTGTCTGCAGTTCAGAGAAGACGACCTCATATCGCCGCACGAGCAGCGGCAGTCAAGGAAAGAGTTCGGCCCCGTCTCCAGGGTGTGCAGGCAGTCAGGAGGAACTCTACTGCAGTCGAGTGGGCGGGGCTCCCAGTCCTGCACCTCCGCCAGCGAATGCTAACAACAGTGCCACAGTGCCAATCATACTGCCGCCACCTCGCTCACGCAAAAATGCCATGGTAACATGCCATACTATGATCTTTATTTTGAGATATGTTTTTTCAAATGTCTTCCTGATGATTACATAATATGTTTACTTATATTTTTCACTTCTGCCCAGATTTTTCTCCAATTTGCAGTCTGGAGAAGTTGACATTAGTTGTCAAAAGTCATAGCCGGTCTGCAGATTTTGGACAGTCAGATTTGATTGATTTCACAGAAGATATACGCACAGCGTGTGACAGGCACAGACTTTGATTTTTAGCTTTAGACTCTGATTCCATCCAGTCTTAGAATATCAAGCATATCTAATATTTTGAGCTGATTTTTAGAATGCATGTTGTTTTCATTTGTCATGAGTCTCCTAGCAATGAGGCTCGTTTCTGCAGGAGTCCGTTGTGTTTGGAACCACTTAAAATCCTCAGTCTTTTAGTGTATGATGCCCAGTTTTTTTCTGTAATCATTTCTGACATGTGTATGATTCCTAGTAGGGATGTAGCATCTCGATGCATAGCCAACGATATGATACTTTAAAGATACATAGCTACTGATGCAAAGCGATACGATTCACCCCTATTATGATGCAGTGTGAACCGATTTCGATTCAGTACAATACGATGCAATGGAAAAAAAAAAATATAATGCTATGCAATTCAGTATGGTATAGATAGTTCGTTTTTATTTCCTTGGTTCAGACAGACAGACATGTTAATCTGCATTCTATGTGACTCTCGAGACACGCCTCAGTCTCTGTAGTGTTGTGATGCATCATATTCACGTAGCAGCAGTGGTGATGAGAGAACACACTTGAGAAACAGTTTAGTGAGGAGAAATCAATCTACATATAAAATATTGGTCACAAATTATTGGTCACTTTCTAAATAAAAGTATAGCGCATCTACTAATAATTATATATAAATCGTTTTTTACCAATGCAAAAATGTTAGAGATGATGCATCGTGATACAAATGCCAACTTGTATCCGATGCACACTTTTTTAGATGGATGCATCGCATCGTTAACTTTTATGCCGATGCACCGATGCAAGTCTGTGAATCTTACTATCCCTAATGCCCGTTTTAAAACCAGATTTTAGAAATCATACAGTGTGTTCTAGCCTTAACTTGCTAAAGTGTTTATTTTTTGTATGTGTCTCAGATCTCATTAAGGGAGAGACCCAAAAAGGTCAGAGCGTTAGTTGACTGCAGAGCAGTTGGTGCCAATCAGCTGGCTTTCTTTAAGAACGAGGTCATCATAGTGACAGCAACTGATGACCCACACTGGTGGGTAAGTATACAAACTCTCTCACACTGACACACACACATCCTGTGTTTACCAAGCGTGCTTTTAACAAGCTTTGGAGTATCTGTGAATACATTTCCTGTAAACAGCTCAAACTGAAGACTTAAACATCTTGCACTCTTTCCCTCCCAGGTGGGCCATATAGAGGGAGAACCGTCTAGAAGTGGCTCTTTTCCAGTCAACTATGTCCATAAATTAGGAGAATGAGATGAACCTCCATGAACACTCCCATTACACCACATGGAACTGATCTAGACTGTTGCTTTTATCTTCAGAGCCGCTAGACCTAGAAGCTGTGGAGGCCTGAAATGCACTTAGAAGATGAAAGACTGGAGACCAGACTCTTCCACAGCATTAGTGTGGATGCTGTAAGATGATCCACTGATCCATTTCAGCGCTGCTTATAACGTATCTCAGCTGTTTAACTGGACTGAAGGTTTGGCAGGTACATCATGAATGACTGGACTTGGAACAGGCAGAAAATGGATGAAAGCTGACCAGCTTTTGAAACTTCCTGACTTCGTTGTTTAAATAAACAACATCACTTGTTCTTATTGATATTGGCGTTGAGGCATTTGGACAAACACTTGGACTTTGAGGTCTCTAAGAGATTGTCGCCCAGACTTTGAGGCACTGGGCTCATTTACTGAAGCTCATCCTGTGGTGGGTTCAGTTGCTCAGTGCTCTCTGGATTATTTTAATGCCATGCCATTAGTTCTGGCTAGACACCAGGTCCTCCAGACAGAGAGTTAAAGGATGATGTATTTGGTTTCATCTGTCTCCTCTGCACCGACGTCTCCTATTGCTGCTGATTCCCGGATATCCAGTCCTGCACTGAGAGAACATTCAGAATAAATCCTCAGATGAAACACCAGGATGTTATGTGAATGTTCAATTACAAAAAGATTTGATTGCAGAATTTCCCAGAAAATTTACAATTCAGTATTTCAAGCCATAGGAAACATCAACTTACCCACAGTACCGACACTATTAGGCCTTACAGAGCACAATAAACATGCTAAGCCACTGCCACATAGACAGTTATTTTCACAGTTTAAGTACCTGTTTTTTGGTAGCCTAATATTCCATTTCTTTGCTTCTAAAATTCTGTAGTAAAACATCTCTTTTCAAGTGTTCAAAATGTTTTAAATCTCTGTTAGCTTTGTCTATGAAAAAAGTTCTTTCTGCACTTGCCACCGTCACTAAGTGTCTTTTCTGTGTCTGTATTGTTATCAGTCAGCATTAAGTTTTTATTTTAATGGGTTCTCCCTCCAAACTGAGGTGGTTTATGGTGCATTTGGGACGTGTCTTGAACCAGCAGACTCTGTATAAATGTTTTCTAAACTGAAAGCACACAACAGAGGTTTTCCTTTCTGCCATTTCATTGACTTCTGTGAAGAATTTTCAGGCAGAGATGATTGTAGTATGCATGTTGGCAGCAGAGGTCAAAACGGTTCAGCTGACTTTGTGTTTTAGGAAAGCAAAAGGTAACGCTGCGTGTAAATTATGCTTGTGAAAATTAACTGTTTTGTATCACTGTAACTTCTTATATTATTGAGAAATGTCATGTCTAGTTTGTTCAGAACATGTTTTTTTTTTCTCCAAGATATTATTTAGCATCTATTTCTAAGAATGAAAAATGACAATTAAATATTTGCAAACTATAATCACATGTGTTTTCTCTGGGATAAACATATTTTGCAAAACCTTTGATCTGACTGTTGACTGTGATCATAGTCTAGCCATACAAGTGCTTTAGTATTACAGTATGATTTTAAACATATTGTTTAAAAAAAAAAAAAAACTTTTTCTGGGGAAATGGCATAAGTATCTTTTTCTAGAATATATAAACCCTCTGCAATCGTCAAACATGCAACATTACCCCCCACCCCCCCCACACACACAAATCCTGGATTAAAAATTGATCATTTTGCACACACATGATACGTGTGTAAATCCATATTAGTACCTTGTTCCTTTTTTTTTTTTGACAGTCAGCCGTCCATCCAGGATGGGCCTAATGGATGGTTGCCAGCACTCAACTTCTTTACAGATTGAAAATCGCTAGCTCTTAGCCTCTGACTGAGCTGTTGCATAATTGACAGGTGTTATGTCACTGCTGAGGCGGTCAGTGCAGTGCAGAAAGTTTCAGGTCAGTCTGAAGCAGATGTTCACTGTGATGGTCTGCAAATGAGTACCATTGGATTGCAACATGATACAAAAGATCTCCTTGGTTGAATGCCATGTGCCATCATCTAGTACTACTGCCTCCAGTATTCAAAATACCTGCTATGAGGTTTTTACTTCGAAGGTAGCAGTGTTAAAACATTTAAATGTTTCAAATAATGTTTTAGGAAAGTGTAGAAGTGTGCATAAAATATTGTGGAAGCATTTCAGCTGTTTCAATGTTGCTTCATGATGTCAGTTACATTGTGCTCTATAATTAGACACATGTCTCTGCTCCTCTGAAATAAAGTCATTGAATAAAATATGTGAGATATGCTGATGCTTAGATAATTGAAATGACTGACCACTGGTGTTTAGTGAACTATTCCCACAAGATTTCTGTTCTGATTCAATCAGATTTATTGACTAGTGACCCTATCTAATTTGAGTACATGTACACCAAAGCAAAACACAGATGTGTGGTACATTCATTTGAAATGTTCTTTGCGTAATACATTCGCTTTAGGAACGCACATCCAAGGAAATACGGTGGAAAACTGACCAGTTACAGGACTTTTTTCCTGAACGCAGGAGTCTCGCTCAACTGGAACGATGCTTTACATTTACGGTCTCTGGTGTTTTCGAGCCGATAATATAACGTTAAAACTATGAAAGTGATTTTTAAAAACTACATAGGGCCATAGTTTCGTCACTTTACAGTGTCGCAAGGACCGTCTTTATGCAGTAACGCTCCTGTAGCGTAGTGGATAGATAGATGACATTGAAAACAGATGAGAGCATACATATATCTACAGTTCCAGATCGGGGCAAAGTTCGCAGGATTTTGCCCACAAAATGATAAGAGCACACATTATCAACACAGTTTCAGTTTAATTAAGTCGATATTTTTACACCGTTTTAAATATGGATTTCTACGGAGACCGGAACACAACCACCTAAACGGAAGTCAGAATTCAATCCATCATAGCGGCCCTCGTCATCGGTTACTCAGGAAAAAGGTGGATTAGACTCCACCCGCTCAACCCCAGGCTATTAATGTGTATGGTACGGAGAATCACCAAGGTAAGCTTTTTACTCTACTAAACCCAGCCATTGGATCGGGGCTATTATAATGTCATAGCTTTTGTCATTAGGGGTTGATAACATTACGCAAGGCCTTGTGTTATGCTAACAACAACATGAGTGCTTTACTAATCTTTGTATAAACTGCAAACGAGGTAACAACTAATGGTTGTCCTTTTGCACTAATCTTAGTTATTGATGTTGCAGGTTCTAGGATCTCTTATGCAATTTTAAAAATAGAAAAGCATCCTTAAAACATGTTCAGTTCGACCATGTTTTAAGGATATTTTTTAAATAGCCTATATATTTTTACTTTAAAATAAGACAACAACAAAAAAAGATAATTTAATAATAAATTGATAATAAATTATTATTTTTGCAGATAACTGAAGTGGGTTTAGTCTCTGAACCTGGTTAGAGTGAGAGAGACAGAATCTGGGTCATACTCTAATATAATACGTTTTTTCCAAGATTCTTTTCTGCTGTAAGACACTAGGCAATTGATTTAAAATCAGTCTTAATCCAAGTAAGCATTTGACCTTTGCGTATATAATTGTTAATGTCAGGATGGCTGACATTAGTGGTCTGTGTTTCCTCTAATGCTGATGTCTGTCAGATTGCCAGATGGCTCAGGGAAAGAAAGGAGGCTGTTGGTACTGATTTCAGCAGAAATCGTTCCAAGCTGTGCTGGATCAAGTGTTTCTTCCGGTCCTGTTGACCTATCAAATTCTGCTGAGAAACTCGCAGTTTAAAATAGATATAGTCATATTATTTTCTCTCTTAGGCATAAGCTCAGCATTTCCATAGGCAAATATGGTTCATTAAAAAAGTCAGCAAAAGCTATTCTGATATTCAGTATATCATCGATAAATGTACAGAAGCATGTGAAATTGATTTAGTTTCCAACTGTCTTTTTTGTTCAGCAAACCACACAAGTAATGTAGTAAAAATTCAGTGATTATTTCAGCATAAAGAGGAAATAAAAATACATAATTTCAGTGTTAGACAAGAGACAAAGGTTTTTGAATGTTGAATCTTGTTCTGTGAAACACATAATGAAATAACAGTAATTACAGAATAGGCCATTTTGAAAGATTGTGAATAAAACTTTGAAAAGCACATTAAATACATAAATTCAAAGCATTATACATTCTTATTTCATTTCAAGTGTTCAAAAAATACAGTCAAAGGCAAAAGTTAAGTTTAAAGAGTTTGTGAACCCCATTAAATGTATTTTTATCAGAAAAGCTTCTCTTTACGGTCTCTAAAAATAAAAGCTATTGTAAATAGTTGTTGAGCATTAAGATTACACTAGCTTGGAGAAAGTTATTTTACAGTTGAGAAAAGAAATAATGAATCCGCTAATCTAAATAAGTAGATGTGACAACAAAAGCAGGATATCCAACAAAACTGTTTACAAAGATTAGTGTTACCTGATGTAACCTATAGGATATGGCATCATAACTATACATGGACACAAGGACAGACTTTACATTCAACCTGCAAGTGGGCCCAGAGAGATCTTTGGGAAAGCTTTTCTTTTAATATCTGTCATAGCAAAACTCATAAAAGGTGCAGTGCAAAAATCAGTGTGTGAGAGAGACTCCATCTGAGGTGTCTTTAAACCACACAGCGTAAGTGAATTACATATGTACAGTAAACGAGATAAGGCATTTGATGAATGTTTAACTCTACATAGCTTTTGAGAAAACGTAGCCTAAAAATCACGAATGCAATGAGAAACCATCCAACGGGTCATCTGGTCGCATTGCTGGAATTCCACAACCAAGAATCAATAGAAATGCAGTTCCAGAAGTAAAAATCCCATTAATTTCTCTGTAGGAGATTCATTTTGAAAGATAAATTATACACCTTTAAAGACAGACCTACAAAAGTGTTAATCGATGGTTTATACTTTTGTGGAAGACGTCAGTCTGCATTCTTTCATCTTATTTTTTAAATAATCCTGTTCAACAGTGAAATTTCTGGTGAAAAACTAAATATATACTACAGAAGAAATCTACTTTATGGGACTGTAGTTAAAACTATTGAGTACACAGTTTTGTACATTTTTCTTTATAATTTATCATTTAGTTTATAATGTTGTGATTCACCTTGTAGCTGATTGGTTTGGTTCATGGCTTATAACTCTTAAATGAACATTTTTAAAAAACCTATGGGAAAAATGAATAGGAATACTTCTGGAACCAAGGTCACTGAAAAAGTGGGTGGACACTGTTGCTCTCTATATTATGAAATATCAGAGCACTGAATACCACAACTGACCAATCAGAATCAAGCACTCCAGAGATCTGTGAAATAAATATCATCTTTTGAAACCGTACTACACTTGTTGTTTTGGTAATTGTTTGAAGGGGAACCCAGATGGATTCATCACTTCATTCCAACATTAATCGCTAAAAACATGTCCTCACACAAGGCTTTCATCACAACAACATTTGGTTTGCAGTTAATGTCACAGAAGAACATTGCAGGCGTGTTCAATCATCTTTCACACCCTACAGCAGCCAATCAATCGTGTGTCCTAAATGTAGCATAATCTACAGCTGCCTAAATCAAATCCCCCCTAAAATAAGGGAGATCAGCACAACCTTTAAAGGACACCGAGATGTTCTGTCATTAAGGAAGTGTAAGTAGCCCTTGAACTGAGATTCAGCCACTTCTATTCTGTTTGCTTTACGCCTGATCAATATAAATGAATAAAGACTGTGGTCTGCAGGCATCCTGCCCCATCAAATGACGCAAATCTAACGGCGTCACACGCAGATGCGTGGGTGTCACGCAGAGCTGCAGAGACAAAAAGCACCATGCGTGCAGCAGTAGAGTGGATTGCAAGTGACCCTGTTAAAAGACATTCTATGTGTATGCAATGATTGTAATCACAGCATATCAATTTAATAATTAATGTTACATAAGAGTAAATAGATGCTTAAAAACTTATTAAAGACTTCTGATCAGAATCTGATAATACAGAGCAAAGTTAATACAAAATTTTAGTACTTATGCTATAATTACGTGTTCATTAAATGTCATTATTAATATTATCATTTGTATTATTAATAATAATATAATTTGAAAGGTATACATTATATATAATGATATATTACGATGCAGCAATTCAATGTTTTTCCCAATACGATGCAGTGAGTAGAGCAACTGTCTGCTTACACAATGAGGCAAGATGCCAGGTGCAGGCTACATTCTCAGTGGTGATGTACGGTCCTGCTGGCTTACCCTGCAGTACAGCATACATTTATCTGCCAAAGGAAAGGTTATTCTGCTCACTAAAGACATACAAGGATAGCCAGCATCACATCATCTTTCTCTCTCTACCTAGCTCAGAATCTTCCAGAATTAACCGGTTCAAGCCAAAAATAGCAGTCTCCTGTGTTTTGTT